GGGGGCGAGAGTGGCGAGCTTGCTAACGGTGCTCCGGGCTCCGCCGCAGGGTCCCGCCTCGGGCGCAGAGAGGTCGTGGACGGCGCGCGGCGCTTCGCTAACAAGCAGGTGCTGGTGGAGACGGAGGACGCGGCGGGTGAGTGAGGGCTCGGGTGGTGACAGCCCGGCACGTGATTAGTTAATGTCCTCCAGCCCCAAGGCCACCAGTTAGGCGTGAAGTCAGCCGGATGTTGAGAGCCTTGAATTTCCAAAAGCAGTGAGGAAAAAAACTCTTGTAAACTCGGTTTCTTAAGTACACATCAGGTGGTTTAAATGACAAAACGAGTGAGCTTTTAAGTTTTGGTTAAAGTTCTTAAAGTTACCATCTGTCACCTAAACGATTAATTGAAAATGATTGCAGCCTGCTGTGGGGCTAGTGCTTGTAAACCTACCTGAAGCTAAAGAATCTCGAGTTCTAGGCCAGCCTCAGCACCATGAGACAGGGTCTCAAAAATAATGCACCAGGACTAGAGAAATGGCTCAGTGGGACCTGAAGCTAAAGAATCTCGAGTTCTAGGCCAGCCTCAGCACCATGAGAGATGGCTCAGTGGTTAATGCACCAGGACTAGAGAAATGGCTCAGTGGGTAAGAGAACCCAGCTGCCCTGGAACCCGGGTTCAATTCCCAGCACCCACATAGCAGCTCACAAAGGTCTGTTACTTCAGTTCCAGGAGATCTGATACCTTCACACCAGTGCACATAAAAGAAAGTTACATTATTTTTTAAAAGAAGAAAGGAAGAGAGAGAGGAAGAAATAAAGGTACCACCACTTCTGGCTTTCTTTCTAAACAAGAAATTCCGACATGAAAATGATTGAAAGTAGCCGGGCGTTGATGGCGCATGTCTTTAATCCCAGCACTTGGGAGGCAGAGGCAGGCAGATCTCTGTGAGCTCAAGACCAGCCTGGTCTACAAGAGCTAGTTCCAGGACAGCCTACAAAGCCACAGAGATACCCTATCTCAAAAAAAAAAAAAAAAAAAAAAAGAAAGAAAGAAAAGAAAGAAAGAAAATGATTGGAAGTATTTTTTAATATTTTGCAAATACTGGTGCCTGGCACAGACCCCAGTAACTATTTCCTAGTTAAAGTTGGAAGCTGCAAGTAGGGTCTCTCCCCACACCCTACTCCCTTCAGAACACCTAGGAAGAAACACCCCTCACAGGGCTGAAGCAGAAGGAAGGATGGTGAAGTTGAGATCAGCCTGGGCTACATGTAGTGCCTGTTTTTCCTGTGGTTTGGTTTGTTTTTTTAAAGTGAGGATGCAGGAGGAAAAGGTAGAATTTTCCAGGACAAATAGATAATGTATTTATAGTGCTCCTAAAATGCTGAGAGCAGGGCCATGTGCTCAAACCTGGTGAGTCCAACAGAAGGTGGAGACGTTGAAATCTGTGGCAGATTTTAATACCTCTCAAATACCACAGAGACACACATTTTAAAATATTAGAGGACTAGAGAGGTACCTTAGTGGTAGAACATTTTCCTAGCATTGGACAGGCCTTGGGTTTAATCCCAGTACCACAAAAAGGAATAAATAAACATATTAGAATGGGTAGAGATAGCAACTCTATACCATGCCACAGTCCCTGGATTATAAAGGGTCTCTGTGCGAAGGGTGTTGGTGGTGACAGCCTTTAAGCCTAGCATTCGGGAGGCAGAAGCAGGCGAATCTCTGTGAGTTTGAGGTCAGCCTCTCCAGAGGGAGTGCCAGGATAGGCTCCAAAGCTACACAGAGAAACCCTGTCTCGGGAGGGGGGGGGTCTCTGTGTCACAGCCCTAGCTGTCCTGAAACTCAAAGGTAACTAGATATTTTGGCTTAGTATCATGTATATTTACTCACAACTTTAGTATATGTGAGTAATGTGATTTATACATATATATATTATTGTATATTTATTATATAAATATATATCCACCTGCCTCTGCCTCCCAAGTGCTAGGATTAAAGGCATGGGCCACCATGCCCAGCCCAGTAACCAGTGTTCTTAACCACTGAGCCATCTATCCAGCCCCCTGTAGCTCACACTTTTAAGCCCCCAGAACATAAACACCCTAAAGTGTGTGAACTTTGCTGGCACAGATAATAATTTCTTCCAGAGCTGATGCAGGGTCTTTTTGGCAAAGGTTCATCTCGTTTGAAGACAGCCTCTTTGATTTGTTTCATGATTTCTCCAGTGTTGCTTAGCAGGCACTTCAGAGTGACAAATTTCTGAGATCACTTGTGCCAAAGTTGAGGGCATTGATGTTTCATTTTAGCTTCTGCTCAACTCATCATTCAAGAAGGTTTTATCTAATAGTCAGCCTGCTCCAGGAATTTGGTTACTTATCCCATGCTGACTAAGGTCATCTAACTTCTCTTAGCTCATGTTCACCTTTTGCCTCCTTACCTTTTCCCTAGTGTCCTTTGCCCAACTGGGCTTTTCAGATATGTTTCTCTCAACTAAGTTTGAGATTTTTGTTTTATGTAGACCTGTAACTGGGTCAAAGGTCCACTTAAGGTAAAGATTGTTAAAGAACCCAGTTAGTGGGTCTGGAGAGATGGCGCAGAGGTTAAGAACACTGGCTGTTCTTCCTGAAGTCCTGAGTTCAAGTACCAGCACCCACATGGTGGCTCACAACCAGCCATTATGATTCTGGCGCCCTCTTATGGTGTGCAGGCAGGAATAATGTATACATAATAAGTAAATGAAAAACAAAAACCCCAGGCTGGAGAGATGGCTCAGAGGTTAAGAGCACCGGCAGCTCTTCCAGAGGTCCTGAGTTCAATTCCCAGCAACCACATGGTGGCTCACAACCATCCATTATAATATCTGGTGCCCTCTTCTGGTGGGCAGATATACATGGAAGTAGAATGTTGTATACATAATAAATAAATAAAATAAAACCCCAGTTGTCATCAAGACTTGACCCTCATTTTCAGAGAAGGGTTTTAGTTTTTTGTTTTGTTTTGTTTTGTTTTCTCAAGACAGGATTTCTTTATGTAGCCCTAGCTTTCCTGAACTAGCTCTGTAGATCTGGCTGGCCTCAAACTCACAGAGATCTCCTGCCTCCTCCTCCCAAATGCTAGGATTATTAAAGGCACGCACCACCACTGTCTGGCCTGGAGAATGGTTTTCAGTTGACACCTAGACACTCAGGTTCTCAGCTGGAAAAGTCTCTTGAATATTTTGGAAGTCCTTAAGGCAATACCAGATGCTGTCAGCAGTAGTTGGTAGTTGCAGTGTCCCTGGAGATAGGCCCTTGTTTTTTGCATTTATGCTGTAAACAGAATGCATGAGGAACCAAGGACTGTGGAAGGGCACCTGATGCCTGCATTCTCAGCTGCAATTGCTGAAGAAGTGTGAGCTAAGCCCCACTAGAAACCTCCTCATGTGTCTGGTTCTAGCATGTTCTCTGTTCCTCTGAAGTCTGGTACAGAAGAGCAAGAGGATTTGCACAAGTTGATGAATTAAAGTCAGGGAAATTAGAAGACAGGCTGATGAGTAGAAGAACTCTGCCCACTGTCATCTTTCAAGACATCAAAATCATGGCAGAGAGCCACCTCTGCTGTCAATTTCTTGGTGTCCTTGAGGCTGGGAGCCTAGGGCATTCTGCTGAGAGTGGAAATGACAGACACCTACAATGTTGTCAGTTTTGGCATATCAAGGGAAACCTTTAATTCTAACTAAAGTAGATTCCTTGCCAGAACTGCATCTATCTCTAGGCAGGTGAGTTGCCTTCAAAACCAGATGGACATCTGGTGCAGATGCTGGAAAGATGGGAGACATTCATGGCCCCAAGGTAGATGCCATTCTCAAAGACCTTGTG